CAGAAAAGGTTAGTTATGTTGACCAAGTTCTATCAGCCTTGTAGATTTCAGAACCTAAGCTAAATTCTGGTATAGTTTCTGAGACTTGGTTTTCAGTGTTGCTATTTTTCTGTTTTTCTGTGTCTTCATAGGCATTCAAGGGGGAAGTAGGAAGAGGTTACCTCAAGACAGCTGGATACCAGTATTTTTTTACATATACACTTAGATTTTATTATGTTTGTATATAATTATTTTAATAACATTGAAGTATAATTATATTAAAAGAAAAAATATAATCATTCATTATCCCACCCCACAGAGATAACTATTAAGGCTCTGTGTCACATATTCTGGTTTTTCTTAATGTTGTCTTTATGCTTTTATCACACAAGTGTTAGAATATAAAAGAACAATCCTCTGTTCAAAAAATAGACAACTGGGGCCTCCCCTGGTGGCGCAGGTGGTTGAGCGCCGCGCTGTGAAGCTGTCTGCAGCCTCTGCACCGCCAGTTCGATCCCAGCCAGCCGGCGAGGATACCACATGGCGTGGCAGACCTCTCTTGTCTCTCCCACTGCTCCCCTCAGCAGTGTATTTCGTCAGTCTGCTTGTTCGGCTCCCCGCTCTGTCTCTGGTGAATACTCTCACCCTCCCGCGTCCCTGGCCTGTACCCCGGTTCTTGTATAAAATAAATAAATGAATCTTTAAAAAAAATTGACAACTGGTTCTAGACATAAATTCATTCAATAATCAATCCATTAATTAACCTTTAAGCACCTATTATTACTCAAACTTTGGCAGTACCATGTCAGATGTAGAGGATGCAGAGATTGAAAATCTGAGGGGTTTGTCTCTCAGAATGTTTAAGGTCTGGGAGGGAAAACTAGCAGGTCTGGCAGGAAAGACAGTAAATACCGTATGATGAGATATGCGTAATACTTTAAAGGAAAACAGGAAAGAGGACACAGCTCCCAGGCACAACAGGTTGGGGAGGTAAAACTTGGACTATGTCTTTAAAAATGAATAATTGGTCCTCAAATGGACAAGTCAGGAATTGGGGATAGGGTGAAAAGGAAGTACATTCCAAGCAAAGAGAATAGCTTGTAGAAAGCAAAAAAGAGAGACCAGAGCAAGCATAAGGAACTGCAAATAATTTAACATAACTAGAGTACAGAGTACAAGCCCCATGTTAAAGATTAAGCTTACATGCCATGTACAGAAGTTCAATTTTCAATCTTTAAGCCACATGGAGACACTGAATGAACTTAAATGGAATAACCTCCTCAGATGTGCATTTTTTAAAAAGATTTATTTATTTATTTATTTATACAAGCACTGGGTACAGTCAGAAGCGTGGAAGGGTGAGAGAATTCACCAGAGCCAGAGCAGGGAGCAGAACAGGCAGATTGACGAAGTACACTGCTGAGGGGAGCAGCGGGCGGCAAGAGAGGTCTGCACGCCATGTGGGACCCTCACCCAGTGGCCGGGGACCAAACCCACGCTGCAGAGGCTGCGGGCAGCTTCCCAACCCAGCGCTCAACAGCTGTGCCACCGGGGAGGCCCAGATGTGCATTTTTAAAGGACCACTCCAGATGGATTAAAGGTAGGTAGGAATGAGTGACTAAGAAAGGGACTAAAGAACTGCTTTAGTAGTTCAAATGCAAGATGATGAAGGTCTGAATAAGGAAAATGAAGGTAGCATCTTCTCAGGTTAGTGGAATGCATCTTTCATGGATAGAGATGATGCTACATCTACCTTCCACAAGAAGAAAACAGATTCTGCGAATATTCCACCATGTATAGGTTCTTTCACATATTAGAATGTTTCACTGATACATAATCTCCTGGTCATTCTTTACTGTCCCAAGGATATATCCCTCTCTATACATTTGATGATCCCCCACCTCTACGATGTCCTTTATTGTCTACATAGGAACCATCAAACTACAGATCTTTTTTTTTTTAGATTTATTTATTCATGCATACAAGAACTGGGGTACAGGCCAGATGCGCAGGAGGGTGAGAGGATTCACCAGAGACAGAGTTGGGAACAGAATAGGCAGACTGAAGAAATGCACTGCTGAGGGGAGCAGCGGGCGAATCAGGAAAGGTCTGCTGCGCCATGTGGGATTCTTGCTGGCGGGCCGGTATCAAACCTGTGCTGCAGAGGCCACAGACAGCTTCACAGCACTGTGCTCAAACACCTGCGCCACCAGGGGAGGTTCAAACTACAGATCTTAAATCAAATCTGGCCTAAGTCTCCTTTTGTAAAATTTTGTCAGAACACAGCCCAGACCATTCATATACCTATTTGTCTTTGGATGCCTTTGTACTGCGATGGCAGAGTTGAGTAGTTGCAACAGAAAGCATATGTGGCCCGCAAAGCCTAAAAGATTTACTCTCTGACCCTTTATGGGAAAAGTTTGCTGAACTCTCTATTCTAGACTTATTCAAGCTGTGATTATCCCTAAAAACCCAGTTCTGAGTTTCTCTTCATTCCCTAGACCACAATAACTTGTCTCCTTCCTCTGATTATTGCCTGGGCCACAATTATTTTAGTTTCTTGTATTACATATTGTCTTAAGTTTCTTCTCTTCCTGTTAACATAGATTTTTTTTTGTAGCACCAATTACACATGTAAACTTTTATTAAATCACTGATTACATATGCCAAAAAGCACTTGCTGGCTGCCTACAATATTCAAGGCACAGATCTAAGTACATGGGGAATAACTCTGGATTCCTCATTGCTGTTGTTTACCCACTCCCACCTCCACCTCCACTCCTATCCTCTCCCCAGGTAATATGGGAAATACTACTTTGGGATATTTGCATACAGTGGTGGTATATACTTTGGAGACAGCTGTGTAGATGAAAGACATCATTGGAACTCCATCTAAGAAGCCCATGATTTATCTCTTCTTTTATTCACTGCGTCTAAGAAGGTAAATTAGCAGATATCTGTAAAGGGCTAAAGCTCACTCACACATCATTAATCTTTAAAATAGTAATCTCTTAGGCTAACTCTTTAAACTTAGGCATTGAAAGTAGTTTTGATAGCTGGATATTGTTAGCAACCTCATATTCAGCATTGAGAAAAGCTTCAAAAGTGTGCAGATAGTCTAAGTACATGTATTTTATGGTGTAAATACGGAGACATTTTCCAAAAAGCTATATATTTGAATGTCTCATGTGATCTCCAGAACTCCCCCCTCAACCTCTTTCCCACCCAAGTCTTCATTCCCAAGCTGTCTCAGTCAAGTTTGCTTATGGACTGGATGTGAACTCCATTAAGGCTTTAAAGACACTATCACTACATGCTCTCTTCGTTTGTGAGACAATATTGCATTGTAGTAAAGAATGCACGATCTGGAGTCAAACCAAGTTCTAAAACTAAGGCTCATCTTCTCAATAACTTGCCCAGGTCCTTAATGTCTGTCATTTTTCCTCATCTGTAAATGGGAATAAAAATGGGACCATCTCAGAGGGTGAATGTGAGGAGTTCATGAAATGGTACAGGTTAGGTTTTTAGAACAGTGCTTGAAAAGAGTATAAGTTATCAATAAGTACTAGTTATTGTTGTTATTATTATGTTATGGGACAAGTACTTTCTTTCTAAATATATTCATTGAATGTTTAGTCATATATGATTTCTTTCAGACACAGATTTGATGACTACTTGAAATAATGTTAGTGATCTGGGGTAATAAATTTCTCAGCAGTGAGACCACGACACTTTCTTTTTTGTGGGGTGGGGGGTAGGTAATGCTCTAGAAAATAGGAATAAGAGCTCTTACCTTGAAATTAGTTGAATACAACAGCCTCTCATAGGGACTGGAACACTATTTGGTTATAAATAATAAAAAAGATTAAAGACAAGGAAAAATAACCTTCCAATACTGACATCACATCCCTTGAATACAGTGCAATTGTTTTTCTTTTCTTTTGAATAAAATAACAAGCATTATGTTAATATATCCAAAGACAACCTGGAATGTGCAATCCGTGCGGGAACGGAATTGCAAATGTTTGATCAGGATAGCAGGAAGCACATATTCTGCCACTCCACTCCCAAAATAGAAAGCCTATTTAGCACTTTGTAAAACACGCTAAATGAAGTTTGCTCTCTCCTGCAGATAGAGATTTTACTTCATTTTGTGCCAGTGAAATTTTTGAAAATTGCATGAGGAGAGAGCAATTTTTGGCACTTTGGCTAGGAGTACAAAATGTTAGCAAATGGTGCTGAAAGGATCTTAAGTGTAATGTTGGAATAATATTCACACAACAGTGGCTGCATCTTCATTTTTAACCTATTTACATATTCACAGGAAAAAAATGCTTAGCAGTTATTTGTCTAAAGGGGCCTATTTAGGGGAAAAATGGCATTCACATTTTTTGAATGCATTAGTTAAGAAGGTTGCTGTGAATAACAATTCATAAAGAAAAATGTCACAAAGAATGTGGAAAGACAGAGGTGGGAGAATTCTGGACATCACTGTTAACTATGGACACAGAAGGAAAAGAAAGAAGGCAAGGGAGAACCATATCCTGAAATTTTTCATAGAGTAAAAGACATTATATAGAGTAAAAGAACACTGAAAACAACTGAACGACACTGAGTCAAAATTTCCAGTGTTCTAATGTGGCTGTCTCAATTTGTGGCCACTTCCTTAGTACAGACTCTCTCTACAATGGAAGTAGCTAATCTACCTACATAAAAAATATTTAATTCATAGCATATATAACAAATATCGTCTATGTCCATGGCACAGCAGCAGAAACTGACATATTCGTAGACATCTCTATTTCTTGTTCACAAAGAACTTACAATAAAAGTACAGATTGTGATGTTAATGAAACATTGAATTGACATCTAGAAGGCATAGAGATATACCAGCCTCTGGCACTAATTGGCTTCTCCAAAGGCAGATGATGAAATTTTGGGAATCTACACGTGAAAGGAAGGTGAAGCAGGATTGAACAGAAGTCAAATTGTAATTTTTTTCTTTTTTTTTTTTTTTGCAGGTCAATTTTTTTGTGGACAATTGCAGGTTCAACTACAATTCAGGACTGACAAATCTTGGTCCATCGAGCAGGGGACACTGACGGTTAGATTAGCCCTTAGAGCTCTGTCATGTTGATCCAAAATGGTGAGTCTTTATACTCCTGCCTGGATCAGTCACCGGATGTGGACCATTCAGGAAGGGTGTGTCCTCTAGCAAGATGGCTGTCTGCCACTGAGGTGGACCCTTCAGGAGCTAAGAACTGAAGACTCTGCTGATGACCCTCCTTGCTGTTAGAAAGCACTCATTTTAGAAGGCAGCTGTGAATAGTGCAGCTTCTTGTCTACCTAATTCATTTGTAAAGATTTTTGGGAGCTTCTGATTAAAACACCCACTAATGAAGGTAAATGGAAATTTAGCAAAGACATACAGCATTAAACTCCTGAGGAGCTAATTTTATTCAGCTAAAGTACTATATGTATTTGGATAGTTTAGTGGAAAGAGAGCTCACAAATGAATGTGGTTTTATTTAACTAGAGCATAGAAAACTAAGATTTTTTTTGAAAGTATAAAATATCCAGACAAGAATATAGTGGTGGACTAGCATCACTTCCAATATACAAACAACAATATAAACAACGTTTCAAAGAGAAAAAAAAGAAAAACCAAAACAAAAAATTCAGACAAAAATATTCCCTAGATCTATGAACAGGTCACAAAACCATCAATAAAACATCTAGTCAAAGGTAGTTGCTTGGTTGTACAAGGAAAAAATACCACAAACCAAAGCTAAAAGATCTGATTTTTTTTTCCTGAGGAAAAAGGCCACCTAATCTTTACAATCTGTCATTTTGCTGACTTTTACTAAAAAATACATTGGTCCAGTATTTTGTGTGAATTTGGCAGCAGGGCACTTAGTTTGATCCTTGGTGCCTTTAAGATGGCCAGTCTCAACAAACCCTGAAGATCACCAACTTGGGGCCAGAGAAATGCATGTATCCTTTTCAACTACATCTAATCAATATTCAACTACATCTAATCTAATCAATGCACTATTCTTCCTAACCCTTCATGAAGCTGTCACCACTGGGCACACACATTGTGTAAGCCAGCAGCAGGCATTCTGCAGATCACTCTGTGCCATTTCGGCCCAGCAAAGCAAAAGCATTTGTCAGTCAAAGTTGTATCAAGGACTGGTCCTCAGTTCTTTCATACACTGCCTCCTTTCATGCCACAGCCCACCTTTTAGTAAATAGTATTATTTCTAATTTTCACTTTAGGAAACTGAGAGAGCAATCCAGAGATCTAAATTAAAGATTGTTGGTTTGGGGGGGTATTTTTTTTTTTTTTTACAAAGAACACATTTAATTTTTTTAAATAATAAATTTTATTTTTATATTCCCCATACAATTGCAACCCCCTCATTCTGACACCAATCCCTCCCCTCCCGCCACCCACCCCCCCAAAAGTGTCTCTGGTTCATAGTTTTTTGTTGATTTTGATTTTCACTTTCTTATAGTTATTCATTTTCCTGGTCCCTTATTTAAGTTTTCTAGATTCCTGCTATGAGTGAGACCATCCGGTATTTTTCTTTTTCTTTCTGGCTTATTTCGCTGAGCATGATCCCTTCCAGCGCCATCCATGTTGCTGCACATTGCATGTGTTTATCTTTTTTGAATGCTGAGTAATATTCCATGGTATATATGTACCACATCTTCTTGATCCAGTCATCTATTTTTGGGCATTTGGGCTGTTTCCAAAGCTTAGCTATTGTAAATAGTGCTGCTATAAACATAGGGGTGCAGGTGTTCTTTGGAATTGATGTTTCTGAGAACACATTTAATTTTAACATAGGTCTGTGACTCCATATTCATTGTTCTTCCCATTACATATCTGACCCACCTTCCTAACCCTTTCTACCGGTGCAGCTCATGTGTTCTCTGTAGCCTACTCTAGTTCCATGAAATATTAATGTTTCCCCCAAAAAAATGGTTCTGTGGTCAAGCAAATTTAGAAATCATGAAGTTAAACCAAGTTAAAAAGTTATTTTTTTTTACAAAAAATAAAACCACAGGAAGTCTCAGAATATGTTCATGCTAATGTGCATTGTGAATCTATAAACAGTTCAAAGGCAGAGATTACCATAACTGACTTTACCACAAAAATCTTTATTTCCTGTGGGCATCTTGCAAAACTGAGGATCTGCAGAAAAAATGATGGGAAATTCTGCTGCACAAGGCTCACTACTATCCTCCCTCAGTCAGATGTCAGAAAGTCTTCTTTGGCCTGGGTTACACAATTGTGATGTTGACGAGGAGGCAGGGTTTCATCCTACAGGGTTTCAGCATCCCACGCATGACCTCTGGGCAGATAGGCAGATGAGGTAGGGGAGAGTAGACACCACACCTATTAGTCCTTTATCTGACCTACCAAGGCAATGCCACAAGGCACAGTTATTTAGGGAAACTGAATTCAGGGCTTTTTCTGGATTCTTTAATATTAAATATTTTCTCCTGAGGAGAGAGGTCACCTAATCTCCACAGTTGTCTTGCTGACCTTTATAAAAAAAAAACTCAGTTGGTCCAGTATTACGTGTGACTTCAGCTGCAGGGCACTTAGTCTGATCCTTTGTGACTTCAAGATAGCCAATCTTAATAAACTCTGAGAAGATTGCCAATTTGGACAAGAAAATCTAAAGAAAAACAGATTTATTTATGAATAAATATAGGATTGTTCCATCCCTGAAAGCCATTAAGAATCCCAAGAAGAAGCACTAACTTCTAAGTGGAAAAGAAGTTTTAAAAAAGTGCGTGCGTGCATGCACATACACAAACACACACACACACACCACGTAAAAAAAGTGGACTAATGACCACAAACATTTCAAAATACATAAAAATGTATCTTTTCTTCTACTTTTTTAGTCAGTGACCTCTTGTTTTTTGTTTTTTTCTCCGTATAAATCAGTCTCATCCACGCAGTTTGATGGCAATTGCTTCTCAGAGTTTGTCTGGTGTGGGTGAGTTTGTCTATGGTGTGTTCAGGTGTGAGGACCTGGGATTTGATTTATGTTTCCATTTGACTGTTGCAGTTGGACTTCTGTGCCTCTGAATCACTAAGACTGAGAGTAAAGCAGTTACTCATGGAGAAAATGAGGGTGGGTGGGCTGAATAACAACAAAGTCAGGAATCTAAGATGCCACAGTTTCCAGATCCTCCAGAAGAACAGCTTTAAACAGCACATGGGTGGCAAGTCAAGGATTGGTTTTTATTAGTACAGCCATAAATTTCCTAAACCTCGTAGGAAATGTCACCTCTTATGGCCAAAGTGGAAATAAATTAAGAATCAAGAGAACTTAAAATTCCACACTGGAAAAGATGTTAGGCTCTTCCTTTAAGATTTCTATTAAAAATTCTTTTTTAAACATCATTTCTCATCTTATTAAAATTGCAAGTGATATTTTTCAAAGATTAAAATATTATTAAAATAAGCATATCTTAGTAACTAGTGAGGTCGTTCTGGAATACCTAAATGTAATTCAAGTTAGGTGAACTTGAGAAAGAGAACTATAGTCATAGTCAAAAACAAGGTCAGAGCTGAAGCCAGGTTCTCAGTTCATGGGTAATGGCACACTTGTGACCATTAAGACTGAAAAAGAAGCAAAAATCTGCCAGGCTGATGAACAACATCACAAAGGATTTTAAAATATAAAAAAGATAGGGCAAATGTTTTACCAAACTCAAAGTCTGGGCAGAGACTGAAAATTACTTTATCCATGGATTTCAGAGCAGAGCAGATGGGTCTCAGTTTTGAATATTTAATATATTTCCACCTTTTAATTTTAGTTCATACCTTTCCCACCTCTTTTTTATTTCAATTATTTCATGTGTTTTGGATTAGATTCAAATTAGATTTAAAAAATTAGATTAAAATTAGATTAAAAATTAGAATTTAAAAAATTGTCTGAAAAGACAAGATGTCTCTTAACCTGCTAGTTTGGATTAAAGGCAATTAATTATGAAGACTTTTATGGTAAGGTGAGATAAATAAGAGGCATGCCTGAATCAAGTAAATTTTTACACTAAAATAATATTTATTGATTTATAGCTTACTGGTCATTTATATTTCTTAAGGGGCAAATTGCCTGTTCCTATATGTTACTCATTTGTTATATGAGCATTTGTATTTTTCTTATTAATTTTTATGAGCTAATTCTATATTAAAAATAAAAATCCTTTGGGCCTCCCCTGTTGGCGCAGCGTTTGAGCGCTGGGCTATAAAGCTGCCCGCAGCCTCTGCAGCGCAGGTTCATCTCCCGCCGACGGCGCAGGTCCCACATGGCTACAGACCTCTCCTGCCGCCCGCTGCTCCCCTGAGCAGTGTATTTCATCAGTCTGCCTGTTCTGTTCCCTGCTCTGGCTCTGGTGAATTCTCTCATCCTCCCGCGCTTCTGACTGTACCCAGTGCTTATAGAAACAAATAAATAAATCTTTTTAAAAAGTAAAAATAAAAAATAAAAATCCTTTGTATTCCTTTTTTTAAAATCCTTTGTATTCTATAGATGGTGCATATACTAGGGAATATAATGAAATACCTTCTTTTGTTTTGCCTAAAATAGAGGAATACGACAGAAAAATAGTCAACAACAGAAAATGAAGAAGAAAAATTTATATTTAACTGATTTTTTTAAAGATTTATTTATTTATTTATACAAGCACTGGGTACAGTCAGAAACGCAGGAGGGTAAAATTCACCAGAGCCAGAGCGGGGAGCAGAGCAGGCAGAAGGACCAAAGCACACTGCTGAAGGGAGCAGGGGGCGGCAGGAGACATCTGCGCGCCATGTGGGACCCTTGCTGGTGGCCAGGAATCTAACTGGCGCTGCAGAGGCTGCGGGCAGCTTCGCAACCCAGCACTCAACCACTGCGCCACCAGGGAGGCCCTTAACTGATATTTTCAATGCTATATAATTAATCTAATCCATTGTTTGGATTATCTTAATTTTTACTGTGACCAAATATCAAATTTTAAAACCTTGAGAGCATAATAGATTTTATGTATAATGCTATTTAAAATCCCAAGAAAATTTAAGCTACCTTAAAAAAACTTTCTTTTGTATCTTTGGTTGTGTTTTCCAAAAGGAAGTCTAGTTTTTTCCTTACAAACTCAGACTGTTTGAGAAGTGAAATGAAAAGCTAATTGTATAAATTACACTTAAACACATGTACTAATAGTCATTTAAGCAGACATTGAGAAGTCAGTTTATGAACAGTAGGCTAAAGTCAGACCAAAAATGTTTTCCCCTTTCTCTTTATCCACTTTCCATAGCTATGATAGCACTATTAGTGTTGATATACAGGCACAATGTGGGTAGATTTTCTAGCAATTATAGTACTTTTTGGAAATTCCTCAATTCTAATAACAAGTAATAATAAAAATGAGTAACATGCCAT